TCCGTGGGGGACTGGCTGCTGCCCGGGGGAGAGCTTTGGGCCTCCCAGAGAGGGCTTGTCCTGTCCTGTGTGCTGAAGGCCTGGCTCAGGGCTCTGTGCCTGTGGTGTCTGCTCCTGGCTGGCCTTTTCCTAGCAGGGTATCTCCCAGTGCTGGTAGAGGGCTTGGTCAGGGGAGGGGGCACTATCACCGTTGGCCCTAGCTTGGTTCTTATTGTGCCCAGCCCCCTATCTTTTTCAGATCTGCTGAGTCTCAGACCAGGCACATCCGAGAAGAGGCCACTGAGTCCATTTTCTCAGGGCAAGTGCCAAGGTCACTTACAGCCACAGCCAGCCCAGCCTGGGACTGCAGGATGACTAGGGAGCCCCCGGGGAAAGGGGGCTGTTTCTGACATCTCCTGGGGCAGCGTCCCTCTGCTGGGCTGTTTCTTGGTTTTTGCTGTTGAGATGATGGTGGCAGTTGGTCCTCTAGGGGTTTTGTTTGTTTGCTTCTAATCTGTTGCTGCTTTGGGACACACTGTTTATTGATTTGACCCCAGAAGCATTCCTAGTGCAAAGTCTCAACAAGGTCAATAAAGCTATTATCACACTCCTTCGAAAGAGCGAGTTGGACTGTCAGCTAATAGTTAGGAGATAGCTGGTTGACCTCTCTATCTAACTTGGTTATTCAGTAACCAGTATCTGGTGGGGGTAGGTGAGACTCCGAGAAGTGCTACCTCTTGCTAACAAAGTCTTAGAGGGTCACAGGACAGCCGTCCAATCTGAAGCAGCCAGGGGCCTTCCTGTCTGTCCTTTGGTCCTTGGTCTACTTGCCCAGCCTGGCCCAGCCCCTAGGCCTCCATCCTCCCTGTCACAGCCACCCTGGGGACAGCTAGGCGAAGCTGGCTGTGCATATTTTGTGCCCTGCTTCTCTTCCGGGAACTCTTGATTCATGAGAAAAGAGCTGGTGAGAGAAGTGAAACCTGCGAGTTCTAAACATGAAAGGAGTGTGTCAGCTGCCTTCCTGAAGCTAACGTGAGCTTGGCAGCCTTGGCCTCCGTCTAGCCTTAACCTTAACCTGACTGAAGTTCCCAGTCTCTTGTGAACCACGGCACCTTTCTCTTAGAACACCCGACAATGGGGAATGGATAGAGCACCAGACTCGGAGGAGGCCCAGCTCCAACTGTGCCATGCCCACCGAGTGGTGTGACTTTCGGTTCATCCCTCCACCCTCTGGAGGCCGGGAAGGAAGTCCCAGAAGAGGCCAGGGCCAGGCCTAGTGTCACACAACACAGCTGCGGACCGCTTGTACCCCCAGACTCATGACTCTCCTGCTGTCTTGGGTATCAGGTTTTCTACTGGCAGCGTCATGGGGGATCCCAGGTGGTGGATTTCTAGGAGTTGGGGTGAAAGCTGGCAGGGACATCAGGCCACCGCCTAGAGGAGGGCAGGGCTGGAATCTTGGAACCTAGCAGGTCAGGATGCAAGTGGGGACCCCTGCTGATCTTCCTGTCTGCCCACAGGAGCAGGTGGGAGGGCCCTGGGGCTGGAGTCTCCCCCATGCTGCACTGTAGGCTCCCCAAAAAGCCCTAGAGCCCACCATAGGCAAGGCCAGGGCTCTAGGAGCTTCAGGGGATCCTTATGTTCATTAGACCCAGCTATGCACAGCAGGAGGTGGGGAGGAGAGGGACAGGCTGACAGCCACATCTCTACCTTCCAGGTAAAGCCAGGGCCTGGAACCTTCACTTCCCAGAGGAGATTTGGTTCAGCCTCTGACCCCACTCAGCTCCCCTAACAGAGCAGTGTGGGCTGCCTTCACCCCTCCAGCCCTTCTTCCTCATCTGAAGATTAGAAACATACTAGCTGTCATCTAAGTGCCCACTGGGCATCAGGAACAATTTCAGACCTCTTAGATGCATCTCACTAACCCATCAGTAGTTCTGAGGAAGGCGATAGACTCTGGTTTTCTAATGAGCAAAAAGATGTAAGGAATGAAACCAGCTTTTGCCCAATTTCTAAGCCCTTGCTCTTTTCTCTTAGAGACAACTCCCTGACATCACCACTTAGGGTCCCCTGTGATGCTGCCATGTGCCTGGGAGTGGCTGGCAGGATGAACAAGGCCCAGGGAACTGGCCCTGTGCCTCAGTGAGGAAGCCTGTCTGTGCTTCCCACCAAAACCTGCAGGGCACAGCCCTGGGTCTTCACCGCTTAGGGTGGCGGGGGTTCAGAGCCGCCGACCTGGAAACTCCTGCTCTCTTCAGTGGCTTCCCATCACCTCCAGAGATGGCCTAAATGCCACAGGTTGGCAGCTGAGGCCCTGTACCATGCCACCTGAGGCCCCTGCCCTTCCCAACCACCTCTGCTCCTCTGCTTGGCTCAGTTTCACCCTCCAGATACCCTGATTGATTCAGAGTTCCCCAAACAGGTAGTGTCATTTCACGCCTCCGTGCCTTTGCGCACGCTGCTTCCTCCCCCTGGCAGTCCTTCCTGCCCGAGGTCTGGTTGGCTTGGCCTCATCTTGCTTGTTTTTGAAGCCTCAGCTCCAGGAATCCTGACTGCTCCCTCCTGCTGGCTCAGAGCCCCTCCTCCGTGTCATCTAGGGCTCTCTCCTACAGCGTCATCACACCAGGCCTGTCTTCCACTGACCTGTGCGCCCAAGCAGGTGGAGATCCTGCTTACGGCTTCTCTTGTTAGTACTGGATCGTGGCAGGGTGCCTGGTGCAGGATGGGCACAGGGATGCATGGGAGAGCAGCCTTGCTTCTGCCCAAGGGAATGGAGATGTTAGAAATGGGCACAGCTCCTGCTACTGAGGTTGGCAGGGACGGGACTCTAGACAAAAGGGCCATGGAGCAGATGAGGAAAAACATCTGGGGCCATAGGCAGGGGAGCCAGAGAGGGCAGGCTGGGGTTGATGCAGTGTGGTTGGGGGAGTGGGGTGAGAGGAGAAGGGGTGCTGGCAGCTAACTGCCTTCAGGCCCCCATTGGCTCTGACCAGCCCTGGGAGGGCTCAGCGTGACTGTGGAACAGCCTGGCTTCCTAGTGAACACCAAGACTATGTAGCCAGCAAGGGCTTCACTGCCGAGCCTGTGATGGAAGAATAGTCATAGCTGGGGCCCCAGTGGGGCCTCAGATCCCCAGGGATCTTTCAGACACTGAGAGGATCTGTCACCATGGTCAGTGGCCGAACATCTTGGCAAAGGCCCTTGAACATACATGTGGTCATGAAATCTGGTTCTGCTGACCGGGACGTTTTACAGGCCGTATAACCAGGACCTGGGGACTAGGGGAGATTCATGCTGTGTTCCCTTATCTTGAGGGACAGATGGAGTTGATACTGGCAGCAATGTGCAACTGATGAGGAAACCAGAGGCAAAAAAAAAAAAAAAAAAAAAAAAAAAAAAAAAAAAGGTTAAGAACTCACGGGAATTTACACATGCAATTAGTGAGAGGCACCACGCAAAGTTTCCCACCTCTCCCTGAACCAGTCACGTCTCAGGCAGGGCTTGGTGGGTGCTATCTGTAGGGCTGCAGGGTTCCTCCATTCATTGCTCTTTGCAGAAGCCAGCTGGGAACCCTCTTCAAAGTCTCTGAGAGGATTTCCCTCAGATTCTAGAAGTCCTGAACTAAGAGCCATGAGCCATATGGCAATAGGTGAAACCTGGAAAACTTTGCTGCCACAAGCTTGCCATGTCTGTCACTGGGACAGGCACTTGGAGTAGCCCCAGCTTCCCTGGACAACTTGAGTCCCTAGAGGACCTCTGTGACCCGCCCATGCGCCTTAGGGAGGCCGAGAGGCCAGGATGTGGAGCCGCCTGCAATCCAGACTACACTGTTGCACCTTCATGAAGGATGGGATGGAAAGGCACTGAAAGCATTTAAGCAGAGCTGTGGAGGGGCGTGAGCAACTTCATTTTCTCAAGAAGACAGACTGTGGGGACCCAGGAAGGAAGCTCGATCCAGGGGCAAAGTGAGAAGGAGCCTCATAGCCCAAGCCCAATTCAGGCTTCGCTGAAATGCCCTTTTATTTCCCAAGTGGTATTGGGTTTTGCTTCATGCCACATTTGGGGGAAGTAGGTTTGGGGTGTGGAGGAGGATTCCTAGGTAGAGGGAGCATCCAGTGTCCTGCTTGTGGGCTCTTGGGGCCAGGACAGAAAGAGTTCAGGAGTCCTCCCACCCTTTTTCCTGACCCTTCTCCACGAAGGCTTCACTGGGGTTAGGTTTTCCCTAACTCTTGGCCCCTTCTGGGCTGCGGCTCCACTCTGAGGCCTATTTTCCATGCATGTCCTGGCTCTTGACTGTGGTAGGGAAGCAGACAGTGATTCAGCAGGGCTCTGGGGCCCTTCCCCAGGCCTCGGGAGAGGGGAGTGGCTGGGGTGCAGTGGAAACGCTGAGTGCCACCCAGCTAGACTGTTCTTTCCACGCCGGGCCAGGGCATGGGATGATATGTAAGAGGTGAGAGAGGGCATATGTGTGTGAGCCACAGGTGGAAAAAATGGGCTCTGTCACCAGCTATCCCACTGCCATCTCCTTTCCAACAACAGCCTGGCTAAACAAGGTACTGTGTCTGCCCTGTTCTAAGCTTCAGAGGAGTGTTGACCTCACTTTAAAAACAGATCCTTCTCCAGACACAATCTCCCTCCTACCCTCATCATTTCAGACATGCGAAGATGATTCGAACTCCCCACCCCTACCTCTGCCATACAGGCACACACACAGGCGCTCTGACCTCAGAGAGGTGTTCGAAAAGCAAAGGTGCTGCTGGCTGCTCAGAGCAGGTGGAGGTGCTTCCCATGGGCTGGAGCCGAGCGGGTTCCAACAGAGGCCTCAGGAGTTGGGGCAGGGAGATAGGTCCCCCTGAGCACCCTCTGGCCTCTGGGCATTTTTTCCCCAGCCTCCCCTTGGCCTCTGCACCAAGAAGGAAAGAGTTGGTGGTGCTCAGAAGGGGCACGGGTGGGGGATGCCAGCCCAGAACTTCCAGCCGGGGCCGACTTCCCGCTAACACAGATGCTGTCCCTCCCTGCAGGTTCCAAGGCTTCATCCTGCTGCTGACCTTCCTCATTTACACCTGCTATCACATGTCCAGGAAGCCCATCAGTATCGTGAAGGTGAGGCTAGGCTGGCAGCAAGGAGGAGTGCAGAAGCACATATTGTAACCATCCTTACCCTTATGGTGGCCACCAAGGCTGCACCTTCACCTGGCAGGCTCCCACTCTCCTCAGCTCTCTTCCCCAGGGGCTCCTTTTCAGTTTATTCCCCAAGACAGTTGTGTTGGTGGCTGCGGATAGACTAAGAGAGCAGGGCCTCTGGGCTACGTGGATGCCCTCGTGGATCTGATGTGACCACTTTCCCCTGCAGCCAGTTCCTGCAGGAGGAGGTGCCAGCAGGGGGAACATGGAATCTGGTAGGAGGCAGTGTCGCCGGTATGGCTGGGGCAGGCGGCTGCTTGCTCCCCTCTGGGTCCATCCCTGACCTGTGTGTCCCATTGCCTCTCCAGAGCCGCCTGCACCAGAACTGCTCGGAGCAGATCAGACCCATCAACGATACTCGCAGTCTCAATGACACCATGTGGTGCAGCTGGGCCCCCTTTGGTAAGAACAGGGCAACTTGCTCTTCCTACTCCCCATTTCCCTCTTCCTCGAGAAGGGAGTGTCCAGGGAGGGCTTCCTGCATGGGCAGCCAGCTTTGTTTTTCTCCCATCTGCTTTCAGATAAGGACAACTACAAGGAGTTACTGGGGGCCGTGGACAATGCCTTTCTCGTGGCCTATGCCATCGGCATGTTCATCAGGTAAGAACCGAGGCTGAGCCTGTGACCAAGAGGAGGACAGTTTAGAGCTGCTGCCTCCCCTGGAGGAACCTGGGGGCAGCTGGGTTGACGCGAGCTCCCACCAGGGAGTGATGGCTTCCCCGTGTGGGAATGAGACCGGGACTGCTGCACCTGCAGTCCGCCCGCCCCCATCCTCCCTGCCTTACCGCCGCTGCAGAGGCTGCTCCTTTGCCTGGTAGACTCCCACTCGTAGCAGCTCTTTTGCTTGGAAAGGTTTTTCTGGAGGCTGCTTCTGAGTCTATTCACTCAGATATCAGAGTTGGTGGGTGTGGACTGGGACCCTTTAAGGATGGCCCTGCATGCACCTGTAGCTGGGAGAATCCCCATCTGCTGTGTCCAAAGCAGCACGGCAAGCATGCTGTTCCTTGCCAGGAATCCAAGATCAATATGGCTGCATACTTCCTCCAAAGAGCTCACAGGCTAATGGGGGCAATGGATGCATCAGTAGCTAGTGCCAAAACTGTGGCGTCTCCATGACAATGGTGGCCATCTGGTGTTCTGGGAGCTCCGAGGTCATCACTTAGTCCAAGCTGAACTAGACAGAGGGGTTAGGGAAGGCTTCTTGGATGAGATGATGCCTGACCTGATGCGGGAGCCTTGGGCACGGTGGTAGAGCTGGAGACCTGAGCAAAAGGAAGGGCATGAGCAAGTAGGGCAAACGTGCAGAAGCAGCATGACCTACAGGACGAATGGTGAGCAGGTGTACGTAAGGGAGTCACAATTTAAGGAAGGTAGCAGCAGGGCTGAGGGCTGAGGTCATTTGCATATGAGGTCCATGGGCAGAGATGCATGGAAGGGTTTTTGCCAGGGTGTCCCGTCCAGATGGGCATTTCTGAGAGCTCACTCTAAGAGTCATGCTGAGGTGAATGAGACTGGTCACACAGAGGGACCGATTTGACAACAGCTCAAGCCGTCGAGCTTACGTTACTACAGTGGTGATAGAGGTGGAAAGAGGCGACGTGCTGGAGAACTAGCTAAGAGGTACCCTGGTGAGTCTTGGAGACTGAAGGTGAGGGGTGGGGAGGAGAGGCTGAGGGAGCTCTGAGTCTGGCTTGAGTGGCGAAAGGGTGGCATTCACTCAGATGAGGGTGACAAGACAATGAAGACATCAGGGCAGTTGGCAGGAGGAGGAAGAGGAATTCAGCTTTAGAGCACTAGGTTTCAAATGCCCCAGGGGCATCTGACTAAGGGTGTCCAGGAGGCATCTGGTTGTGACTGTGAAGCTCTGGGAGACAGATCAGGCCTGAAGATGTGCATGTGGGGCCATGTAGCCTATGGGTGGTTGGAAAATTGTAAAAGTGATGCAAAAGAGGGCTCTGAGAGGAAAATACATGATGGGGAGGGGCTGGCCAACTGGGAGGAAGATGGGCACGCTAAATCCGCAGAGCATGGCCAGGTGTCACAGAAGCAGTGGGGGACAGAGGTTGGCCCCGTCACATGGCAACATGGAGGTCATTGGTGAGACCTTGGCCAGAGCCACTCCCTAGCGTGGTGGGGGCAGAAACGCAGTAGGGAGTTGAGGTGGACACAGAGGAGGTTAACCGCAGATCCAACTTTCTCTTCCCCAGTGGGGTGTTTGGGGAGCGGCTTCCACTCCGTTACTACCTCTCAGCTGGAATGCTGCTCAGTGGCCTTTTCACCTTGCTCTTTGGCCTGGGATATTTCTGGAACATCCACGTGCTCTGGTACTTTGTGGTCATCCAGGTATGAGTCTCCATCTTGCACTTGGGCCTGTGTTCCCATCTCGGGAAGGACCTAGGAGACCGCAGCTCTTGGTGGATGGAGGTCTGGGCTCCTGGCTCCCTGTCTGGTGCTCTCTATTACACTGCACCGCCTTCCACCTCCCAGCCCCGCTGCCCCCACATTTACTCACTCAGAGAGTTGGCCTCGACCACCATACTGCGGTCACTTCCGATGCACGAGAGGCTTGGTCTCTGCTTGGATAATCTTGAGCAAGAGAAGCCAGCTCATGACATTGGGGTGTGTGTGGAGTGTGTGTGAGGGTAGGGCAAGGTCTGTAGTGTGGGGTGTGGAGGGCGCCTCAGCCATGAAACTGAACCTCCTCAGCCCAGGGCGGTCAGAGCAGGGAGCCGGCTGCACAGCCCAGGCCTGTTCCCACCCTCCCTCCCCTCTCCCTGCAGGTCTGTAATGGACTCGTTCAGACCACAGGCTGGCCCTCTGTGGTGACCTGCGTCGGCAACTGGTTCGGGAAGGGGAAGTGAGTGTCACAAGGGAGGAGGAGCGGGAAGGATCTGGAGGGCTGGGGATCGGGACCTGGTCACTGTGGCCTCTGGTGTAATTTCAGAGGGAAGGGTCAGAAAACAGCCTCCGTGTTGCTGTTCTGCACATGCTGAGAAGTGGCTGAAAGCAGTGCTGATTTTCTCATTGATGAGGCTTTAACTCATAGTTAAAGCAGGCGACTTTAGTCACACTTTTTTCTAATAATAATTTCTATTTTGAATGAAGACAAAAAGACGCCTGTAAAACTTTTTTTTTTTTTTCCTGCTTGAATTGGCTTGTGTGCAAAACAAAGTTGTTTTGGAGCAGGGATTCTCACCCTTGGCTCTACTGACCTTCTGGGCCGTTGGACCCTTGTTTGGGGACTGTCCTGCCACTGTAGGCTGTTTAGTGGTAGACTTCCGGCATCTGCTCACTGGATGCCATAGCACACCCCGGGCTGTGACCATCCAAAATCTCTAGCTGTTACCAGATGTCCTTTGGGAGTAGGATTGCCCCTGGTTGAGGACAGTGCTTTAGAGTGAGATCGAGGGACAAAAGAGAGAGCGAGAGCCGGGTCCCCAGACCCTCAGTATGGCTAGAGCTCCCGTCGGCGCTCACTCAGGGAGCTGGGCAGGGGGAGCGAGACCCCAGGCCCTGCAGCCACCTGCTTGGCCCACCCAAGGTCTCCCACCCTTGCCGACTCGGGGCTTTGGGGCTCAGTCTTTGGTGACTTAGAGAAACTGTAGTCAGCCCAGCTTTAGAGCTTGGCTGGGGCAGTTGCTATGAGCAATGTGTTTTGCTTTTTACTTTTTCTACTCTCTTCCCTTCCCTGCCTCCCTTCCAGGAGGGGGCTCATCATGGGCATCTGGAATTCCCACACATCTGTGGGGAACATCCTGGGCTCCCTGATTGCTGGCATCTGGGTGAACGGGCAGTGGGGCCTGTCGTTTGTTGTGCCTGGCATCATTACCGCCACCATGGGTGTCATCACCTTCCTCTTCCTCATTGAACGTGAGTGGGTCCCTCGCTCCTTACAGACCCCACCAGTGAGCCTAGCAGTTCTTGGTTTGAGGGAGAAGGCAGCTGGCTCTACTGGAAAGATTGCTGGTCACAGAGTGGGAGGACCGGCTGTGACTTTGGACAATCTCTTGGAGCCTTTATTTTCTCATTTGTAAAATAATAATAGTAATAATATTGCCTATTTCATAAAATTTCTGCAGGCTTAAATGAGACAGCATAGTTAAAATGCCTTGCCCATAGGAGATGCTCAGCAAGCATTGATTGAATCTGAGCAGTGTGAGCAGGGAGGGTGGAGTTGCAGGGACATTCTTACAGTGACCTGGCTCTTCATTTGCTGCAGGTGGCCTTGTGGGCTAGCCAGGCCAGGTGTGAGAGCCGCTCTGTAGCTAAGAGTCCCAAAGTCCAAGAGGCAGTAGTGACATTGGTGGTTGTTAGGAAAGCCAGGCCTAGAAAGCTGCCTCCTGAGCCCCAGGCCCCACTTCCTCCTGCTGGGACACACACTGGCCACCTTAGGAGTTGGAGGTGGGGCCAGCTCCCAGGATGACTTAGACCCAATGCAAGGTGAGGGCCTGGAAATCACCTTGGGATTAGGGGTGGGGGACAGACTGGGAAGCTTCTTAAAAGGTGATTTTTTTTTCCAGACCCAGAAGATGTGGACTGCACCCCTCCTCAACACCATGTGAGTGTGAGCCCTCCCAGCCCCATCCCTGACCTCCAACTCCATCCAGAGGGCTGGACTCAGGGAGGCCCGAGGAGCTAGAGCAGGGAGTTCTGGCACTCACTGACCTCACAGACCCAGTGCTAGGCCAGTGGTTTGGCCTTACAGCCTGATAGGTCTGGCAGGTTTCTTCACCCGAGAGGAACATGTGCCTCCCCATCCTGGGAGCCCCTGGCAGGAGACAGGGGCTGTGCTGCCAGCTGGGGGGAGGTGGCTCATGGAGGCGGTACAGGGATGCACCCATAGCAGGGTTCATCTCCTCTACTCAGGGCGAGCCAACTGAGAACCAGGACAACCCTGAAGACCCTGGGAACAGTCCCTACTCTATCAGGGAGAGCAGCCTTGAGACTGTGGCCAAATGCTCCAAGGAGCCATGCGAAGAGCCTGCTGCCATCAGCTTCTTTGGCGCGCTCCGGATCCCAGTAAGTTTGTAGAATGAAGGAAAGAGAGGGGCTCTCTAGATTTTTCTGTTGGCGATGAGATGGAGTGCTTGGGTGATCTATTTTTCTAGCACTTCATTATAGGTGTGGTGTAGGTTGGGCAGACTGCTTGGGGAGGGTGCTGTGGGAGACTTGTCTTGAAACAACCTTGCACAGTGGCCACATTGCTTTCATTGGGACTGGATGTATTGGAGGATGCCTTGTGTGGCAGGTGATAGAAAGTGCTGGGGTGGTGTTGAGCACCCCTCGGGGCCACCACTGAACCCAGGACCTCTGGACCCCTTTCCATGTGCCCTCTGTTACGCTCCCCAGGGCGTGGTCGAGTTCTCTCTGTGTCTGCTGTTTGCCAAGCTGGTCAGTTACACCTTCCTTTACTGGCTACCCCTCTACATCTCCAATGTGGGTAAGTCAGAGAGGGGGAATGAAGGGGTCTCTGAGGAGGCCAAGGCCACCTCTGGTGGGAGATGAAGGCCCTTGTGGTGATGCCTGTGATTCCAGTACATAGTCAGGATTCCTGCTGGACCTCTTCTAGAGTGAAAGGAGATTGATTTAGTTCTTTATTTAAGTGAAAGCTAAACCCTGCACACTACCCCCTACACCCTGACTCCAGGCACCTTCCCTCCCTTGGAACTGAGCTGGGGATTAGGAACTCAGAACTCTGTTCTGCAATTCTTGTTTTCTCCTCTAGCCCTTAGTATAGGAGAAACCCTCTCCAGGCTGCTTGGCTCATAGGTGGTAGAGTTGGGAGGTGCTAGGAAATGCCTGCCTGCTGGATATCTCCCCCAGTCCAAGGGAGAGGCCTGGTGAGCCACCCCACTCTCTGTAGCCTGGTGGTGAACATGTTACACTTCTCCCAATGGGACTTCAGGGGATGGAAGCCCTTGTCCCTGCACCTGCTGGGCTGTCCCTGTCTCATGGATCTACTCCTTCCTGCCCCTGCCCAGGGAGGTACAGATGAGATCACTTGAAAAAGGATGTTTCCTGTCCACCTGGCCTGGGTCTCTTGCTTTTCCGTAGGTCGGCCTGCTCTACCAAGGTGCAGCCCACCCCACCCTGCCCAGCCCCCAAGAGCCTCCAAGTTCCACCAGGGCTGAGGACCTGTCACCCAGAACTGCTCCCCTCCCTCCCAGCCCTGGGGAGGAACATCACCGCCTTGCCACACATTGTACTTGCTCTGAACAGGATACTGTAGGAATTAGTCACAGCCAAGTCTCAAGCTGTAGCTTGCCCCGCAGCTCTGTTGCGGCCTCTGTCTGTGATAGTGTGGAGCATTAGGGCAGCTTCGTGGACACTGTGACTCTTTGTTTTGTGGCCTTGGTGCTGACTTCAGAGTATGAGGCAACCTTGAGGGTGGAGCTACAGTCCCAGCTCCTGGACATTCCTTTTTTTAAACATGGAGCCCAGGCCTGTGACCTGAGGCCCCTGTTTCCCTGCAAGTGTCCTTCCTGACTCTGTGTATGTAAATGGGAAGAGCTCCTAATGCTGCTAGGGCCAGAGTGAAGCAGAGAAAGGACTGGGGTGAGCCTCAAGTTACGCTCCAAGGGAAAGGCGGCCATGGGTCAGGGTGCTCAGGGGCCAGATCCCAGTGCTTGCTGGGGAGGGCTTGTTCTGAGAGGAGAAGGTCATCCTGCAGGGGAAGAAGGCGATATGGGACAGGACCAGGAGGGCGTCTGCCCAAACTGCCACACTCCCACCCTGCGGCCCTGGCCAGCCTGCTCCACAGGTCCTCAGCTCTTCCTTAGAAAAGGGGGCAGTGGCCTGGATCACGCTCTGCAGGGCTTCTAGCTGTGACACTCCAGGATGTTTGCCCCAAACCCCAGATCTGACCACATACCTGTGTTTTCCACAGCTCACTTTAGTGCCAAGGAGGCTGGGGACCTGTCTACACTCTTCGATGCTGGTGGCATCATAGGTGAGGCTCTGCCCTGCTCTGCCCGCAGATTCCCTTCCCCTCTTTCCTTGTGGGATGCAGGAATAAGGGACAGGTCCGATGGGCTATGACCTGGGCAGGTAGTACCAGAGAAAAAATGGCTCCTGGGTTGATTCTCAGTTCCGCTTCTGCCTAGCTGGGTGGGCCTAAGAAAGATGCCCTTTTGTTTGTTCCCGGTAGTGATGGGCATTACAGGAAGGGAGGGCTGCGGAGAAGGCAACTCTGCTGGTTCTTGCTGATGGGCCCTGGCCAGCGCTGGGGCTCAGCTGGGGTGCCAGGCAAGGGGATGGCGTGGTCCTGTTTGGGAGGCAGTGTGTGAGTGGGTGTGTGTTCCAGGCGGCATCATGGCAGGGCTCATCTCTGACTACACCAACGGCAGGGCCACCACTTGCTGCATCATGCTCATCTTGGCTGCCCCCATGGTGCGTATAAACTCAAGGGTAAATGTGAGCAGGAGACCGTGTGGGCCTCTGACCCGCGTGTTACACACATGGCTGTCTCTGTGCACATGTGCACCTGTATCCCTGTGCACACACGGGGAAGTAGCAGCAAGGGTCAGCAGAGGCACCTTGGAAACAGATCCAGACTGCAGACTTTAGAGGGGGATTCATGACTGTTTGGCCCTGGTAGAGAAGGAGACCGCCTCCTAAACTTCCTGATCAAGGAAAGAAGAGATTGAGGTTGAATCTGAGAAGACTTGAGAAAGGGAGATGATAGGTTACCGCGTTTTAGACAGTCCGTCCTGGGACACAGAAAGACCAGAGAAGTCTGGGTATGCGAGGGAAAAGGAAGAAGATGCCCTCTGGGGTTCCAGGGCAGGAGAAGGTTGTTCCAGACTTCAGGGCTCCAGGCTGGCGAGGGGATCCTGGGTGACTCTGCCTCCTCCCTCTTCTCTCTCAGATGTTCCTGTACAACCGCTTTGGCCAGGACGGGATTACCAGCTCTATAGGTGAGGAGGAGGTTGCCAGTCCTGCCAGGCCATGGAAAAGGCACCACCTTGGGGGCCCCATGAGGCTGGTCCATTTGGGAGCACCAGGGGGTGGAGCTGCTGGGAGGGCTGAAGGCCCGAGGGTGCTCCTGCCTTGGGGTGGGGGCTGCGGGTGGCGCCTCCCCTCTGAATGGGCTGTCTCTGTGCGTCCCAGTGATGCTGATCATCTGTGGGGGCCTGGTCAATGGCCCGTATGCACTCATCACTACTGCTGTCTCTGCTGACCTGGTAAGTGGGGCTACCTCCTGAGGGCCAGGGACAACCCTAGGGGTTTGGTCAGGGCCACCATATCCAGGTCTATTTTTCTCTCTCCCATCCTGCAGAGGAGAGACCCTAAAAGTCCTTCAGAATGTACCATGGGCCCCTGTCCTCTGAAGCCCAAACCCCAGTCACCAGCTTCCTTGAGTCAGCCCCTCCCTCCCCTGCCCTGCTTCCCTTGATGCTACTGCTCAGCTGGGCCTCCCCACTCCACTGTCTCTCCCCAGGGGACGCATAGGAGCCTGAAAGGCAATGCCAAGGCCCTGTCCACGGTCACGGCCATCATCGACGGCACTGGCTCCATAGGTCTGTGACTCTAGCTCTGTCGTGGGCAGGCCCCTGGGCATAATGCCCTCCGGTGGGCAGGGGAGGTACAGGGCCCCTTGCTCATGAGGCTGTGCTCCATTCAGGCGCAGCTCTGGGGCCTCTGCTGGCTGGGCTCATCTCCCCGACGGGCTGGAACAATGTCTTCTACATGCTCATCTCTGCCGACGTCCTAGCCTGCTTGGTAAGAATCTTGGGGTACACAGATCGGTATTGGGGGATGCTCTGTCCTGCCAGGCTGGAACCCTGGAGGTCCAAAGCACTGGCCACTGACGGTTCTGGGTCAATGAGAGCAGCTGTCCTCTGCTCAGAGCATTCTCCCTCCCCTGGGTGACCCCTTGCTATGTGGGAGTATGTCCCTCCCTTCTCCACTGCCAGTCTGCGGGTCACCTGGTGCTGGGCACTCAGTGCTCAGTGCTAATGGTGCCCTCCCTTCCCTCTGTGCCTTGTGCTCCACAGCTCCTCTGCCGGTTAGTGTACAAAGAGATCTTGGCCTGGAAGGTGTCCCTGAGCAGAGGCAGCGGGTGAGTCCTCCAGAGAGCTGAAGCTGCCCCTCTGCCAGCCTTACTTCTCATGGGAATCAGCCCAGTACTCAGCATCTCCAAACGCAGGCTGAGGCTCGTCCAGCCCAGACCTGAGGAGTGCTGAACCAGTCCCTGGGTAGCCCCTGCTTGGCTAACCTGTCCTCTGTTGTCCCCGTGTGTCTCCATAGCTCTAGTATGGTCCTAACCCACCAGCGATAGTATTTTCAAGTCCCATGACTTTTGTGAGTATTTACTTTGAGTCTGTGACTCAAGTGCCATTTGAATGGGGGCTGCATGCAAATCCTCTGTCTGACAGTATGACTTTCTTCAACTTTCTCTTTTTTCTTGTGGGCCAGCTGTACAGACTTTCAACCTCAGCAGAGCGAGGTGCTTGGGAAATCTTTTCCAAGGGGTCTGAGATGCCGCAGAGGTTGGCAGCCTCTTCCCTGAGGGACACTGTTAGAACTTTGGACACGCCCTCCGGGAACAGAGCGGGCAGAGATAGGGAAACCAGTTTCCCTCTGAACTGAGACTGAGGTGCCGGCGCCTCCTGAAGTTCAGAAACCAAGGTCATCTGGCCCCTCTGCCTGGCATGCAGAAAAAAATAGCAACTACCAATCAAAGCCTCTGAAACAAATGTGAATCAAGCATGGGTGGCTGGCCTGGTGTGCTCTCTGCCTGTTGTCTGGTGGTGGTGAATGCGGTGGTGGCACCAGTAGGTTAGCGGCTGATGCTGCACGGTGCTGGTGGTCTGATGGTCGGGCGACCCTCTCCTACTGGCCATCCTGAGCAGGAGCCTTGTGCTAATGAGGAGGCCACTAATGAGCTGGCCGGAGCTGTGGACCTGGGCTGGATGGCAAATGTGAGGAGGAGCACCCTGGGTCATGGTAACCAGCATGTAGCTGGGGATGCATTTCCACTTAAGGAAGAAAAAGTAAGAGCAGGAAGACACAATGCAGGAAGCATTCAGAGCACCTGTCCTGCCCTGCCCTGGAAGAGGGGAGCAGGGGACTGGACTGCTCGACTCAGAGTTCCTGTGCCTGTGCTCCTCGGAGCCAGGCCTGAGGGTGGGAGGGAAGAAGAGCACCAGGGAGAGAGGAGTGTTTACTGAGCAGCTGCTCTGTGCCTGGCTTTAGACGTGTGCGCTTGCCTCGCAGCAGCCTCTCACTGGAGATGAGAGACAGCGGCTCAGAGCTCAGGCACGGCCTAACACTCAACCTGGGCCTGGGGTGGTTTGCTTTTCACTGGACTGCCACTGCTGTCCCAGGCTAGTCCTTCTCCGTGGGAGGCCCGATTGTAGGGTGTGCAGTGATTTGTCAGAGCAGACAGAGCACTGGGCTTGGGGTCCAAACGTCCCTGGACAGTCCTGCCTTCTCCACTCACTCCATGAGACCTTGGGTGTAGCACCCAGATTCTCTGAACTGCCACATCCATATGTATGAATGGGGGTGCTTATCCCTGAATACCTGGGGAAACTGATCTGAGGCTGAGATACGGTGGGGTACGTGATGTTGCTTTGTAAAGCCGTAAATGCGGCATGAACATTGTAAGGTTTTAAGTATTAATCTGGCTTGCTATTTTGTGCCTGAGAGGTGAAAGGGAGACCTAATTACAGAGAATTGAGATGAAAGGCAATTATGAAGGGACCCTAGGAACCTGCCTTTCCTCTCCCCGCTGGGCAGGAGCTTATGAAGTTGCCTCACTTTCTCTTCTGTCCTCTCTCTTCTCTTCATGCAGGTATAAAGAAATATGAGGCCCTAATTGGAAGAGCAGCATGGAAGGTCCCAATTGGGTCCCCAGTGTGCGCCCCATGGGCAAGACCACTGAAACTTCCACAAGGAGGGGAGGCAAACCCTCTATTAAACAGCCAGCCCAGCCCAGACCCAGGGCCTAAGAACACAGATGTTTTCCATGGGAAGGGGACTGCCAGGCATGAGGAAATAGAAGATTCAACAGCCTGAGCTCTGGAAGCTGCAAGCAAAAGGGATGGGACTGGGGCTGAGTTATGTCACCATTTTGATAGGGAAGGATATGCCCAGACTCTTGCTTGTTCAGATTCCAGGACAGAAGGCTCTACAAGGGCAAGGCCTGGAAAATGAGCGACTCTCCTTCCCATGTTAAATTTTAATCTCTATAATCCACCTGTATCTAATAGGTGGGCATCTCACTCCATCAAAGGAGCCCTGCCTTTCTTTGTCCCTCTATCCATCAAACAGTCTTCTCTGTGCATTTCTGCAAGCTGGGCCCTCTCCACTTGGGCCTGTTGATAACTCCATTACTCACCCATCATGCTGGTCCTCCAGGGCCAGCACTCGGGTGAGGCAAGGGGGCTGCCTTGGGTACATCGTTTGAGGGGGCACTCCCTCTTGGGCACTTGCTGGCCCTGAGTGCCTCCCTTGCCTCACTGGACCCAGTATGTTGGACATGACGGATCCTGGCCCCAGAATGTCCTCAGTGGAAGGTGACTGGGGGCCAGAGCAGTTGGGAGAGTAGAAAGAGGGGTTGGCATGACTAAAAATTCCAGTATGTGTATTAAGTATTTTGAGAATGAAATGCTAAGGAGTGCCTACCGTGTGCCAGCTCTGCTGTGGGAATGGAGTAGACAATTGACACGAAAAGGACTTATGCCCTGAGCATAGGTGCCAATGGTGCCAAGACTGGCAAGATGTGAGGGCACCGCATGGTTCATTCGGGCAGCTGCTGCAGGTGCAGTCGCTTGGGGCCATCTGCCGCCCCCCCTTTTCCACTTTTCAACATCCTCCTTCCACCCCAAGTCCTGGATCACTCGTCATCTTCTGGCTAGCTCTTGGCATCTCCAACTGACCCTAAAGCTGCCCATCGGCACCAATACAGATTCCCTTTCACCTACATGCCTGTGTGCATCCTTGTGGCGGCCTAGCTCGGCACTGAGCAGGGCTCGCGTGGGTAGGGTGCTGAAGTGGCATCCCAAGACCACCAGGTGGGTAGGTTAAAGCTGACGACAGTGGGCACTCCAGAAGGGGATGCTCATGACACTGACGATCTGTCAGGCAAACCGGGAGCTTAGAGCGCCACACAAGATACAAGTGTTGCATTTCCTGGGACATTGTGGGCTGGTGCGTTAGCCAGAATCACATCCTTCCACGCTAAAGCAGGCCGCACAAGTGCCAATGGCAACAAACAGGGAAGGCTCCTTCTGCCTGCAGTCACTTCAGCTCTGAGCATATGAGCCAGCCAGGGACCTCCAAGTCCTCAGAGTCCACAGGGGCAGAAGTTATACTCTGTGGCCTTATGTTCAGCATTCAGGAAAGCTGTCCTTTAACATTACTTAGGAGGGAGCAGCTTATGGAGAAGCTGTGTTGCTTATGCTTACGTTAGCCACTAGATGGTGGCCCAGTCCCATCATAGAGCCCAGGGTGGGCTGTGGGTCCATCCTGCTTCCTGGAAGAGAGAGAGGAGCAGGAGTCTCTTGACTTTTCAGACTTTCAGCTTCAGAGGGCAGGGGAAGAAGAATGGTTCTCTCAAGGTCTTCTCTTCCCAGCTGCCTTGCTTGCTAACTTTAAGCCTGTTTTGTCATCAGGAAAATGGTGACATTACCTACCTCGTAGGATTAGTATGAAGGGAGACAAACATACTCTGCACACCCCTGCCCTTGGAGAACTTGTCTAGTTAGGGGATAAATAGGAAAATACACAGAGACAGTGACTCCAGGTGAGAGCTGTGCTGTTCATTAAGCCCAGCCATGAAGGAACAGGGCAGGAGGGTGATTCCAGGGGCAACGGGAAGAGTCCTTCCTCCTCTTAAAGGCGGAATTCTCAGGACTTGGATAATTCATTTGATAAGGTAGTAAGGGGTAGTGGAAGAGGGAGGAAGCTAACATGAGTACTGATCCAGCTCCTATGATGTTAGACCTTAGAGACTGAAAACTGAACAAGTGGCATTGGCGCCTAACAGCAGGTAAGTTTGGCACTAGACACATGCAAAAGGCATTGTGGGGGCTCAGTCTGGCCTCAGAAATGAGGACTTAGGCTGTGGGTAGGGAGTTGGGAAAAATGCCAAAGGTTGGGGGAACCCCAGCCCTGAGATCTGCCTGTCTGCACCCATATCCCAGGTCCCAAGTTCCCAGCCCCATTTGGGCAGCTCTGGGCATGGCCTGTTCACCAGAGGGCCGGTACCTGCCTTCTCCCTGGGCCTCAGCCACTCACACGGGCTAATGTAGGAGCATTACGTTAATTAGTTATTCATTTAATTTAACTTCACATTTGGTCTCAATTAAGCTTAAAACGTTCTTCCTTATAGATGCTACAATAGCACTTGTAATTAAAAAGCAATAACTCTTTGCGTTTCTTCCTTAGAGATCCACTGGGAGGCTGGGTGAGTGTGTGTGGGGTGGCTGGGGGAGGAGGAGGAGGCAAGAGGCAAAGAAAAGAAAGGGAAAGCAGCTCTTGGTTGGTCCTAGCACCATGAGGCCACCACCAAGACTGAGGCTGGCAGGAGGAACGCAATACACCCTGGGTGTCTGAGTGGGCATAGAATGGCTGCTGGGAATCCTAAGAAGCAACAAAGGAGCAGACCTCCTACTTAAAGGTGTGGGAGTGGAGGATGGCAGATGGGGGTGGAAGGAGGCCATGCTTAGAGATGGAGAAGGGGCCCTATATTCTGTGGTAGGTACAGTGTGCCACCACATGATATCCACATCCTAATTTCCAGAACCAGTGAATGTTACCTTCCATGGCAAATGAGATTTTGCATATGTGACTAAGGATCTTGAGATGGGAAGACTGATCAGGGTGGACCCAGTGGAACTGCAGGGCTCCATATGAATCACACAAGGCTCCGTATGAATCACAGGGGTGTCGGGGATTGGCAGATGCTGCTCTGCTGGCCTTGAAGACTGAGGAAGGGTCCACCAGCCAGTGGGAAGGGGCAGCCTCTAGAGCAGGCGTCCCCAAACTGCGGCCCCCTGAGGCCATTTATCCGGCCCTCCGCCGCACTTCAGGAAGGGGCACCTCTTTCACTGGTGGTCAGCGAGAGGAGCACAGTATGTGGAGGCCCTCCAACGGTCTGAGGGACAGTGAACTGGCCCCCTGTGTAAAAAGTTTGGGGAGGCTTGCTTTAGAGCAAACTGCCTAACTTCAGATCCTGACTCCTGTTTGCCCTCCCAGCCTATGCCTGTTCCCCATCTGTGAAATAGGGACACTCTGAGTACCTACTTCATAGGGTCAATATGAGGAAGACATAATACTTACAACACACTTAGAAAAATGCCTAGCACATGTTTGCTAAACGTAATAAAAATTATAATTTTGACATGTGGAACTCTAGACTTATTTCCAAGTATTGGGATGGAAATAGAGATTAAAGGTTGAACTTTATGAACTATAAAATCTCTTCCGATCCTGAGTTCTTACTTTCCTATGAGGATAATCAACACTTTTCCAGATTTGTTTCCATACGGTTCTGATTCTCACATCTGGAAATTCATTTCTGTGTAACAGCTAGATACTTAAAGGTTTAAGCAAAGGAATTATGATCAAATGTTTGTTAGTTGTACTATAAATGATCATTAGAATCCTTTAATAAAACTTTTACCTTTTTGGATATGTGTTAGGAAAATGTCAGGTACAAATAGCTAAGAAATAATGTTAACCAATGTACAAATAAGGAGTTGCTTAAAAGGCAAAAGTGATCTTTAAACTATTTGAGAAATGAGATGTCAGGAATCCTGATGTCAAGTTTGAGCCCCACTTCTAATTAACTGTGAAACTTTTAAAATCCCTTGTCCTCTCTGCCTGTTTCTCATCTGTAAAATAATCATAGCAGGTTTCTCTACACATTGAGCAAAAAATAAACCAGAAACACCTCAACTGCAATGACCATGAAATAGGGTTGATAGAAAAGTTTCTGTTAAATAACAGAACAAGAAATGGATTGCTTTATGTTAGAATAAAAACATTTAAAAATAAATTGGATGCCCTCCTTCTGGGATGGAGTGAGGAAGACAGTCCAGACACCTCACAGCCTAGTTCTCTGATGGGCTTACTCCGCCAGGACTAGCGCTTTCCACCCTCCAGGCACACAATAAATGCTGAATGAATGGCAGGATGCGTGAAGGAATGGCTATGCACTCCCTAGTGCCTGGACATTGGTATGGTAATTCTGATGCAGTTTCACATTAAATGTACATTGTACACAAAGAATGTTAGCTTTACTTCCATTTTTATAAGTGAAAAATTTAAGGAACTTACCAAAAAATTACCTATTGTGATATCCATTGTGGGATAGGGTGGTATCCTGCTAATTCAGCTTTTATTAGGATACAATTTTAAGAAGCTATGAAATGACCTATTTTCTTATATAGAAACCCAGATTTACTCTCCCTTTTCACCTTCTAAACAGTGGGGATCTCTAGTCTGCCACAGGATCCCCTCTGGATAGGGAACAGTATAGGCAGGAACATGTTTTAAGGCCACTGATCAAAGAATCGTTCTGGAACACTGAGATGACTTCTGTCTGTATTTAAGGAATGACCTCTGAACCCTGTCTCCAAGAAGGCCACGAGCATACAGGGTGCCATACCAGAAATTGACTATAGGGTTGTCCCACGCTAAACTCTCAGTGAAAATCATTTTGAGCCCTCTCAGCCTTCTATGTCTTATCCCAACCCCTCAGGGTTTTTTTTTTTTTTTCTTTTTTTTTTTTGCATAACTGCTTTGAGTATGAAGGTAGAAAGAAATCTATCATTCATTTCACCACAGCTGGTAATTATAGACTCTGGGTCTGTAGACAGTAGGTCAAGCTGAAATAAACTTTGCACAAAGTATATTTTTTTTGCCTAAAGCCAGTCCTTAACATATAAGCCTGTCATTTACATCATGCAAAAAAAAAAAAAAAAAAAAAAAAAGAAAGAAAACAGTAGTATTAAGGATATAATTTAGTTTCCAACCTTAAAACACTTTCCCCCATCTAAATAGTCACCCAAAATCTCACAGTTATTATGCATTGATCGAATAGTTGAGTAACCTTTGCAGGGAATAAAAAAGATGGATTCATGGTCAGGAACCTATAATAGTTTTCCCAGAGTTACTTTCTCGGCAAGGCTCTCAGAAGAGGGTAACAATTGGCACCCTGGGTTGGTTAGGAGCCAAGCTTCCACCTGGGCTGGATGGAGACTCACGGAGAAGCACAACAGCATGAGGGCCCCAGCTTGTCTCACTTCCCTCAAGATGCATGCATTCTTTTTTCTTTCCCTCAATCTGGTTAGAAGATGTTTCTTCTTTTCTTTCCTGTGTGCCCTAGGCCAGATTAGGAAACGATTTCCTTTGAAGCTTTCTGTACAAAGCCTTATCTGCAAAGTTTTTCCAAAATAAGATAAAAGAGACTGTTCAATGTAGAGCTAACTATACCTGGCCCTCACTAGCCCATGACTCTCAATGATTACCTGTTCTCTCCTCTTGGAATTCAGAGCTTAGTTGCCTCTGGGGTGGCAGGACTGGGTACCTTCTCCACCGGGAAAACAGGATCGAGGAGAGAAAGTGAACGAGCAGGGGCCTTAACTTACCTCAGGCTCTCAATCAGAGTTCCAGGAAGTCTAGCATATTTTCTTTCCGAGACAAGCCCTGGGGGCTACCACACCTGGGTTTGCGAGCTGGCTGTTAGGTGAAGCTTGGGCAAGTCAGTTAATCTCTTGAAGCTTCAGTTTTTTTCTACTTTAAAGTGGGGATGATAAAAATGAGACTGTAAAAATTAAATAAATTAAACCTCAAAGAAATTAGTGTGCTACTAGCATAGAGCATGTACTCCAGCAGTGTTCTTTTTCCAACTTGTTTTCTTGGTTCTTAATTTTAAGACAGAAGACTCTTTTTCAAGTGGCTCTAGAGAGTCAGGATCAGATTCCCAAAGTGGAACCTGACCAGAGCCCCTCCATTTAATGCAAATTTCACTTGGTCTGTGAGATCAGACAGGTACAGAGTTATATCTAATGTTGAGAATATACCTTTCTCACTAGCTTTGGAGAAAGGGCTACAAAGATGAAAAGAGAAGACCCCCAAAAATGAACTCATGGTAATTAAATAAGGCACACAGAGCCCACCACATCATGAAAGAAAAAATTCCTACAGATACACAGCAAGACAAAAAACAAAAACAAACAAAAAAGATATTTCCATACCTTTCCTCTAATCCCAAGGAAACCTAAAGATACTTGATTCAAAAAGCTGTGGCCAAAAGTTCAAAGTGAAAGTCAGCTCTTTAGCTATTGTTTATTCTTTATTAGAGCAGAGGGAAGTGATACTCATTGCCTTTATAGAGCTCTGCGGAAATATATGCACAGAGTGGTCAATGACCAACATTTGAGCAAGTCTTCCAAATTATCACATTAAAATAACCTTTTGAATTTGCGTGCCTCTCCTTTTCAAATGACTGAAACCTCATAAGGAAAAATTTTATATATTATCAAAAAGAACCAGAAGCCAATGTGGTCTTTTCCCCAAAATCCACTTACTAAGGACTTGGCTGGAAATCCACTCTAAGCAGATCATCGTTACTATTTCCCTTTCAAAACAGTTGGAAATCCTAAGGTACGGGTACTTAAAAGACAGTAATAGCCTTCGTAAGCTGGTGAGAATCTAGCTCCACAGAGACAATTTGGCAGTTCTGTTTCTGGAAGCCAGGACTCAAGAGATGTGTCTTAGTGATGGACGGATACTCCTCTAATCTTAAGGCATGAGGGCTGTCAAAACAAGGGCTCTGAATAGTGCCTTTCTGCTCATCAGTGCTATCACAATGAAGAAGAGAACAGGTTTTCATTTTCCTGAAGAGTGTTCAGTAGGAGCGCAGTGGTTTGGCATAGATGGGCTCCAGAATATGATGGATTAAAACCAAGAAGAGGCTTCCGAGGAAGATGGCGCTAAGGAAAGCCAGCAGGACATAGCGGCCAATGAAAAAGTCATCCACAATCTGGAGAAAGAAAACATCAAAATGAAATTACTACCACTTAGGCACTCTGGCTGGGTTAATCTGAACTCTGTGGTGAATGGGCCAAGAGTTTGTTCATGTTTGTAACTCCCAATAACATCCTGCCCTGAGTCTCGTCTTCACATGGATAAAAAAGAATCTTTTCCTCAACTCCCTGAGCAGGAGACACAGGTCAAGAAGGAATTAATGAGGTATAGGGAAAAAATGGCTCAATTTAGGAGGTTGGTAAACACTTTGAAGTCCCTGGATGAATTATATTCTGAAATCCACTATCTGAAAGAGTTAATGAGAAGCTTTTGCTTGGTCCTAGAAAGGCTCATTTTTGTTGTTGTTAAAACACATTTTATTACAGAGAATTTTAAACATACATAAAAATACTATTGTATAATAACCCCCCATGTCTAGGACCCAACCCCAAAATCATCAATCCATTGTCATTTCAGGAGGGTTCATTTTCAAAATTAAAGGTAACTCTTTAAAGCTATCAGCAGGAGTCCCATGCCAAGGGGCAGGGAAAATGGCTATTTACCTAAGATACTAAAACACTAAGAGGATAGGTAACTTGCCCCAAATCAGAGAGTGGGCTGCTTGGCCTTACACCTGAGGCCCCAAAGATGTTGGTCTTTGCTGACAAAAACCTGTAACTGGTGTTGGCTCTCCCCACTTGTCCACTGTCCCCTGCCAGACCTCCACTCTCCCTAGATCCAAATGGTGGTACTTAAATTTGGGCGGGGAAAAAGCAATTTAATCTATAGACCTATTAGAGCAATAACACAAACCAGGTGGCTGACTGACTTCACAGAAGCTTTGAAATCCCAGTACCTAGGAGAGAATCCAAAACACCTGAAAGATAGTTGTGGCAGGCAGAATAATGGCCCAAAGATAGCCACATCCTAATCTCCAGAAATTGTGAATATGTTAGATTATATGTTAAAGGAGAATTAAGATTGCCAATCAGCTGTCCTTAAAATAGGATTAGCCTAGATTATCCAATCCAGGTGGACCCAGTGTAATCACAAGGATCCTTCCGAGTTAATAGGGAGGTGGAAGAGAGGGTCAGAGCAAGAGAGGTGAGAATTGAAGTGGTCAGTGAGGTGTGATGTTGCTGGCTCTGAAGATGGAGAAAGGGGGCTGTGAGCCAAGGAATATGAGCAGCCTCTAGAAGCTAGAAAGGATAAGGAAATGGATTCTTTCCTAGAACCTCCGGAAAGAATGCAGCTCTGCCAACCCCTTGCTGTTGGCCCAATGAGACTGATTTTGGACTCTAACCTACAGAACTGTAAGACATAAATCTTGTTGTGAACCACAGTTCGCAGTAATTTGTTACAGCAGCAATAGAAAACTAATATAGCAGCCATATGCAAAGCACCTAGTAGACCCGAGCCCTGGTAGGATCACTGAGATCCAAAGACACCTCAGCTGCTCCAGAGATTACCCCAACAGTCAACTTACAACAAAGGTCAGTTTGATAAAACAGCTTTAACATAACTTTGACCTTGGCTCCAGTACTGAACAAGTCTCTTGCGGGCCACATGTTTGCTCGTACGACAGGTTTCACTTTTTAATTAGCCAATTAGCAGGCCTTGGGGGCAGAAGGCCCAGGCCATGTATTATTGATACAGCACTGAGCCAGGCTGCTGCAGAGGCCAGCTCTCAAAACCTGAAAATGAGAACTCCAATTCTGCTGGCCATGCTGACAAACGTATTTTGCTCAAACCCCATTCTTCTCTCCTAGGTCTGAAACTCGTATGGCAGAGGATTGAGGGATTGGTTTTAAAAATGTGTTTGCTCTCTGCCCTTCTCCCAATGTTTACATCTGCAGCATCCAGAAATGTGGCAGCCTATATCCCTCTCCCCTTAAAAGACAAGAAAAATGAGGCGGGAATTTACCCCTGGCTCACACACGTGGTACTCACACCTCCAGAGTGTTTTCCGAATGCTGACAACAAACTGTCGTCCTTGGAAACAGTTTCTTAAGTCTGCTTGGTAAGTACTATTTCCCTTGGAATTTTCAGAACGAATTCCCTTCCTCTTTCCATGGTTAATCCTAGAGTGTCGATTTTAGTTCAAAAGTTACATGTATAACCTTGTGTACTGTTGTTTGGCTAGTGTCAAAATGCTAACCGATGAGCTCTCTGGGATGGCCCCGGATATTCTCTTAGGTTCTGAACAATGAAGATTTTGAAGACGGACCTCAGCTTAAATCCTTGCTCTGCCTTTTGCTATGCGACCTTGGCCAAGTTACCTTAACCTCTTACAGACTCAGTATTCTTATTATAAAATGGGGATAAAAATGGCACCTATGTCATACTACTTAGGGCTGTCCTGAGGTTTAAATGAGACAGTGCAAACAAGAAACAAGGTGTTTGGCACAGGACCTGGCACATAGAAATCCCTTAAAGAATGTTAGCTATTTTCATGATCATTACTTAAAACATTGAAATGAAGGTTGAGAGGAAAGCTGTGAGGAGTAATGGGACAGAAGAGGTCAATGTCATTGCCAAGATCCCATGGGTCTGAGACCAGCCATGCATGGTAAAGCTGAGCCCCAAATCAGGAATGAACCACAACTTCAGAGAAGGACTAGGAGAGAGATAATAAAAATTCATTTAAAGAACTTTTTAATTCTGGGTGCTGACAGGTATGGTCCCAGGCATGAGGACCAAAGAACTCCCAGGAAACTGTTAGGAAAATTCTAGCACACGTCCCTCAGCACCCTCAGGGCACTGCATCGATTTCAGCCCAGGATCTGAGGGGAGGAGCCCAGGCTGCCAGGAATGGGAACACTTCCATCTCAAGCGCAGGCCTGTGACTATCCCTACTTCATTTTCTCTTTCTCGGTCCCCATGGTATGAGGTGGTTTTCCAACAGGCTGTTTTCAACTTGATGCAAACTAGAGTTGAGACCAAATCAGGCAAATAACTGCCTGGTGGGGTTGCAGGAGGAGTTCAGAGTTAGATTCTTTTCCTCAGTGAAGGGGCAGAGAAACTTAAAACTCCCTCTGAACTTTCCCCATCATTGATTGAACTTTACAGTTCTGACATCTCAGGCAACCTGATGTCAGGGAGCACTGAGGGCGGAATGGACGTGCAGACCAAGAGAAGTAAGAATTAACAGCTCAGGAGGCAAAACAAAACCAACAGCTTTACCTTAACTTCCACCTCTGGGGCTGGGAATTCATCAGCTCGCGGGAAGAGCAACAGAACTGATGTGATGATCACAGCACCAAAGAATAAAAAAATGACAGAGAACCTGGGGTCAAAAAGACAAATTATTAAAAGCACTGTTTACAGTTTCTTCTCTGATGAGTTAGGTCTGGACGGTCTCTTTCTTGGGGCCAGTATTCTATGTTTCAGTCCCTTAACAATGCCCAGAAACCTGCTGCCCACAACCTCTTCATCCCAAAGTCCTTCTTCCTAGACAGGTACCAGCTGGGTGCATTCCTGCTTATTCTTGGTAATTCCCATTTCCTGAGAATGAAAATTTGTAGATTTTATTTTTACTTCTGCCCAAAGGCATAATCAAGAAAAACCAAAGCATCTCCTCTCTCCTTTTCCACTTCTGTTGTTTTTAGAACGGAATACTTAGAAAATTCCACAACTCTCTGCTTCATGCTAACACTACTTTGCCAGAGGCAATTCTACAGTGTTTTCAGAGTTGGTTTATGGCCTAACCCTGTTCTGAAGGCAACACCTGATAAAGGAAGCAGGCCCAACTCATCAAATGCTGCTTTGGTTTTCCTGGGTCCGGGGCTAGAGCCTTGGGGACTAGACCAAGCATCTGCCATAAATCTGAACAATTCAGAAACGCATGTGTACAACCTCGAGAAATTCAGTAAGCAGTGCAAGCAGAATTTCTTGTCATCTCTTGTGTCCCCCATCTCCTCCACAGTTAGAACTCAAGACCACCACTTCCTTCTCTTCCCATCTCTACTTCAGAGCATAAATAACACAGTTCGTGCTTATAAAAAGAGGTTAAAATGCAACTCATTCAAACTGCCAGTAATTACAAACTGATCTCTTAAATTCTAAATGTTTAACTAGGACTCCCAGCTGGAAAGAATGCCTTACCTCGCTGCCCCGGAGACTCTGGATAGCAGCACACACAGCAGCAGCACTGACACCCAGAGTAGGGCTAAGATGAAGACGCCCGCACCGACTCCAAGCACAGTGCCAGTCATCTTGCAGGGAGGCGGCGGCGGCGGCTCCCTACCCTGCACGCCGCAAGATCAAGTGTCCTCAGCGCTCCAGTGTGGTTTTCCTGACGCACACTCCCATGAAGGCATTCAGAGAAAGCCTAAACTCATTACAGGGAATTTTTTGATGATCAGTGTGTTAGGAGGATCACTCAGTACAGGTCATTAATTTTCAAAAATGTCCAGTCCCAGAGTCCCTTAATGGAAACTAGAAATTTAGAACCCAAAGCCTTTCTCTTTGGCAGGGACTGAGAGGGTGATTTCTGCTGTGCACTCAGAAGTTTTTTCTGAGTGTTTCCCTTCAAATTTGGTACATGAGCTCTACTCTGACTTCTTCCCCCGGCCCATGGGAGAAAGCTGAACCCTCTCTTGATAAAAAACCTTAACTAAGAACTGCTAGAAGACACCAGGGAATGGGAGCTTCAGGGCCAAAGCGGAAATTGAAGCTCTCAAGTTAAATCCATGGTGTGAGCTTTGACTTACCAAGCAATCAATCACAGATAATTCCCACTCCATTGTTGAGTTCTTATTCAAGAAGAAGAAAACCCTTAGTCCTTAGAGAAGAGGAACAGCCATCACTATTTTTGAACATTTACTATGTGCTAAGTACCATACAAACATACCTCATTTAATCCTGGTCTTCTGAGAGAGGTATTACTATATCCATGCTACAGAATGGCTAAGTGAGATATAAGCGCGATGGGGTATATATTAGTTTCCTAATTAGCAGCTCAAAACATACTCTCTCACAGTTCTAGAAGCCAGAAATCCAAAATAAAGGTGTCAGGAGGGTTGTACTCCCTCCAAAGGCTCTAGGGCAAGGGTTCCCAACCCCTGAGTCATGGTCCATGGCCTGTTAGGAACCGGGTCTCACAGCAGGAGGTGAGCAGCAGGCAAGCCCTCATTACTGCCTGAGCTCCGCCTCCTGTCATATCAGTGGTGGCATTAGATTCTCATAGGAGCATGAACCCTATTGTGAACTGCACATGCGAAGGATCTAGGTTGCACACTCCTTATGAGAATCTAATGCCTGAAGATCTGTGGTGAACAGTTTCATCTGAAAGCGTCTCCCTGCATTTCCCTGTGTGAAACTGCTTCCATGAAACCAGTCCCTGGTGCCAAAAAGGTTGGGAACGGCTGCTCTAGAGGAGACTCCTTCCCTGCCTCTTCCAGCTTCTGGTGGCTCCAGGCACTGCTCATTGGCTTTTAACTCACACTCCAGTCTCAGCCTCCATCTTCCCATGGCATTCCCCTGTGTCTGTCTTTGCCTTTTCTGTCTCTTATTAGAGTACTTGTCATTGGATTTAGGGTCTGTACAAATAATCTAGTATTATCTTTAGATGCTTAAATCTGCAAAGACCCTTCTGTCAAACATGGTCACAGTCACAGATTCTAGGGGTGAGGATGTGAACATATATTTTTTGGGACCACCATTCAACTCATAGCAGAATAACAGCACATTACACTACCTCCCTGGTTTTCCTTTTCAGCATCAGAGACAAGTCTTAAGCAAACACATTCCTCTAACTTGCTGATTTTCTTTACCCTCATGGTTTAAATACTATGAAAATCTTAGCTATGAGAGGTTATAAAGTTATTGGAAAGGAGGGTCTAAGCATAGACTGCTTAAAAAATACATTTATTGAATCAACATTTATGATGTGCCTGTCATACACAGCACTGCGCTATAAGCTGGAGATACCAAAGGTGGGTAAGGCATCTTCTGACAGAAGCTCATGGTCTGTTGGAGAACATTGTCCTGAAAACGACTGGCCACATTACATTCTGACTAATGGTAAAAGTGAGGTGCAGTGACAACTACAATAGTGAGAAGGGCTTTATGAAGAAGTACTCCGCACATGCACATTTAGGAAAGACTCAGCATGAAAAGATGACAGAGTGAGGGGAGATGGGACCTGGGGCTCACCAGCATGCCTAACTTCTCTGGGAAAGAGTCTCCCCTCATTAGGGCCACATGGGCATCATCTTGGTCAATCTAACATGCCCAGGGTTTCCCCGTCTCTGAGTCTTTATACTTGCTGTTTCCACTGCCTGGAACTAACCCTCTACCCCAACCACACCCGCTACTATTTGGAGTGGCTTTCCTCAGCCTTCTGATTTCTGCTTAAACGTCAGTCCTCAGTGAGGTCTTCCCTGAGTGTCTTCTCTAAAGTACCCCCTCAAACACTGACTCTCTATCACTCTATTTACTTCAGAGTGTCACAAAACTGTAGTTATATTTTTATTTACTTGTTTACAAGTTTATTTTCTGTCTCTCCATCTAGAGTAGTGAACACCATGAAGGCAGAGACCTGATATCTCTCACTGTGGTAACCCCAGTTCTTAGCACAGAATCTATGGGATGAATAAATGACACAGTGCTAACAAATCCACAAAAATCAGGTGAGGGAGTGAAAGGACCACAGGGAGTTTTACAAAGATGACTGTAACCTTTGGTCAATATGCTGGATGGGAGTTAACAAGGGAAGTGCCTCATACAACAGCAAACACAGAAATGTTCAATAAAGTAGAACAAGAAGAATTTAGTACACAGCAGAGCTTGAAAGCAATAAAGGAAAATTGTTAAGTGCTATTAAAAATGTAACTGAAGGCCTGAGCTGAGCCTAAAAGTCTATGAGGGTGCTGGTGTCTGATACAGACCTTTGGGGTGATTCTCTTCAGGGCAGATAAGGTCTCAAGCCCACGATGGCAAAGAACTAGAAATGAGAACAATGCAGAAAGCTGGGCCCTCACAGGGCTGACCAGTTTTTGAAATAGGGTCTAAAAAATTTGCTACTGACTTAGTTCGAAGAATGCTGGCTGGATGCTTCAGGCCACAAGTCAAAACACAACAGCCCAAGAGAAATCTGAATCCTCCCCACCCCCACATCATATGCTTGTGTGAGATTCAATACTACCAATGTGGTACAAAAATCCTAAATAGAAAGATTCTCATGAAAACTAGACTACAAGTGAGAACCCACTGGATCCCAGCAGAGACAAAAATGAAAACCACAGGCTGGTATGTGAGACTCCCTCGAGAGTGAGTGTAAAATAAAGATGTTTTCAGACATACAGAGGGTGAAACAGAGTTCGCTTCTCATGGATCCTCAGTGAAAGAACTACTCAGAGACATACTTCAGCAAGAAGGAAAATGAACCAAGAGAGGAGGTATGAGATGGAGGAAGAGTGGTGAGAAAAATACTAAGAAATATTGACAGTAAAGATTTCTGTAATAATGACAATTTTTGAGGGGTTAAAAATAAGAAATAACTAAAATATGACTCAACAGTTATATGGTAAATGGAAAAGGGTAGTTCAAAGTTAAAACATTCTACAGTTGTTTTGGAGGAAGTATATGTTTTTTAAGGTAAGTACGCATGTTAAAAAAAAAGCAAACAGCAAGCAACAGAAATAGAACAAATAACTTCCATACTAGTAAAGTAAAAACAAAATAAAGAAAATAGAAAGTGGGACAAGGGTCAGGAGTAATGTGGTAGGTGGCAGAACAAAGAATAAGCAAGGAAAATGGAAAATATAAAATAAGATTGTAAAAATAAATCCAAATACAACAGTAATCATAGTACATGGAAACATTATATTTGACTACTAAAAGAAATTCTCTTAGATTTTTCTTTTTAAAAATAGCTCTGTATAAAAGCTCTACAGAAAGCACAGTGAGATGCTGAAAATAAAGAGATTGAGAAAGATATGCAAAGCAAATATTAACAAGACAAAAACCAGGGAAGGAGGGAATAAGGAGATGGTCAGTGAGTACAGAATTTCAGTTTTGCAAGATGAAAACATTCTGGAGATGTTTCACATCACTGTGAATATACTTAATACTACTGATCTGGACCCTTAAAAATGGTTAAGACAGAAAATTGTATTTATTTATTTATTTATTTTAGCCATGGTTGGAAAAAAAAATAAGTGAAGCAAAATAAAATATAAGCTACTGAAGCAATATACTAATATTTTTGTGGATTTGTTTTCCTTAACCTATAAATTCAATGCAATTCTAACCAAGGTCTAAAAACATTTTTTCGTGGAACTTGAAAATGGATCCTAAGCAAACTAGATGTAAAGCTCTGAAAAATATTAATAACAACAGTCACAAAAAAGAACAATTCAGTAAAAAGATACAACTTGAAACAAATGTGAACCCAACAACAAAACCTCCAAATACATAAAGCCAAAACAGACAGAAGTACTATAATAAATGGTACTAAACCATTAATTTAGTGGGAGATTTTAAAAATATATATCTCAGAAACTGATAGATCAAGCAGATAAAAAATAAGAATAAACACTTGAGAAAGAGGATATCTGAATGAGAATAAATGTATAAAAAGGTACTCAACTTAATTAGTCATTAGGAAATTGCAAATGAAAACCAAAATTCAGTACCTTCATATACCCACCAGAATGGCTAACATGAAAATGACAGACAACACCAAGTGTTGAAAAGATGTGGAGTAACTGGAATCCTCATATACACCTGGTGAGGGCCATAGTTTGTTAACCACTACTTTGGAGACTATTGGCAGTATCTAATAAAGCTGAATATAAATGCACCCTACATCCAGCTCTTCACGGAAATGCACACATAAGTTCACCAAAAGACATCGCAGCCCTACTTGAAATCGCTAAAACCTCAAACAATCCAAATATCTACCAGTAGAGTGGATATAGTATTTACAATCTATTCATTCATACAGTGTAAAAAGCATTATGTAGTATAAAGCAATGAGAATAATATAAAGCAATGAGAAAGAACACACTCAACTAGACTCAACAATGTGGATGAATTTCACAAATATTGAGTGCAAAAAACTAGAGGCAAAGAGTTCATATTATATGATTCCATTTATATAATGTTCAAAAACAGGTCAAACTAATTTTAAGGGCTAGAGGTCAGAAGTATGGTGGCTGGTGAAACATAGTGACTGTAGGGGGTTCAGGGAGATGCTGATAAAATTCTGCTTCTTGATCTGGGTTTTGGTCACCTGGCTTTGTTCATACAGTGATGTTGTATCTAACTATGTACTTAGGATTTATATACTTTTCTGTATGTGTTTTACCCTTCATTAAAAAGTTTACATAAATAATGTTAAGAGATGTATCAGCCAAGTGTAGTAAATGGACCCATTTTTGGTCCTGATTCAAACAAAACATTGTAAAAACATTTTATGAAATGATTGGGGAAATCTGAAGAATATATAGTATTAGGAAATTGCTGTTTGTATTTTCAGCAAAAAAATTTTTAAGATGGTATTATATTGTTAAAAGATTCTTTATCATAAAGACATATACATACACACAAGTAACACATTACAGATAATAGAAAAGAGTTTCTTAGAAGCTTTATATTATCTGGGGGAGAGAAGGTGAAGGGGGTGACAGGAAACAAGAGTAGTCATGAGCTAGTTGCTGAAGCTGGGTGATGAGTGTGTAGATGTTTGCTATTCTATTTTCTATACTTCTGAATATACTCAAAACTTTCATAACAAAAAGATGTGGCTATGTATATCTGTGTTAGTATGAAGAAGCATAACAAAAGGTGAGTAAGACTTGTATAGCTAAAATCATAAAACGTTATTCAAAGACAAAAAAATAAGAGAGAGAGAGAGAGAGAGAGAGAGAGAGAGAGAGAGAGAGAGACAGACCTGAATAGAGAAATAAAGCAGACCTGAAGAGAGAAATAACCTGTGTTCCTGGATGGGATGGTTCAACTACAAAATTTTAATTTTCCTTAACCTATAAATTCAATGCAATTCTAACCAAAGTCTAAAAACAATTTTTTGTGGAACTTGAAAACGGATCCTAAATTCATATGGAAGAGCAAAAACCCAAGAATAGCCAAAACAATTTTGAGAACTACGATGGCAACTTGCCTTTCTTGTTACCAACTGCCGCAAGACACATTAAAAAACCAAAGTAATTAAAACAGTGTGATAGTGGCACAAAGACACATGGCCCAGTGGCATAAAATCGAGAACCCAGAAACAGATACATGCATTTGTGAGAAGTTTCTACAGGACAGAGTTGGCTTTACGATTCAGTGGGTAAAGAATTTCATAGATGGTGTTGGGACAAACGATTCTCCAACAGGAAAATAATAAAACTAGATCTCTATATGATATATAGAAGTCGATTTTAAATGGAAAGTAATTCATAATGAAATAGCATATGTTTAAATATACAAATGTTCAGGCTGACTACACTAGAATACATAATGAAGTACAGTAGTCAGATGCTTGCACCTAAACTTAGAATCACCACGAACGCAAAAGCTTCAAATGCAGACTATGCAGGTGTGTTGTTCTGGCAACTCAAATACCACGAGCTGTGCTGCCTTCAGTTACATGATTTGCTAGAGTGATGAACAACTCTTGTTAAAGTTCCAAACCACAAATAAGTATAATTTTCCCCTGATTTACATTAGAGTTGCATTCCTGGAAATTTTACTATATTAAACTGTGCCAAAAAAAAATACATTATGTTTATACAAAAACTGGAGTTAGGCTCTAGACTCAGATAATTATAAATGAGTATCCTGTGGGATACTCAAAAGTTGCACAGGATACAGGACACTTCTTCATTGTGAGGACTGTCCCATGCATTTCAGAACATCTAGCATTCCCAGTCCTGATCTGTAAACCCTAGTAGTGCCTCCGATCACAAGAGTAACAAAATACACCTTCACAAATTCCAAACACCCCTAAACAGGCAGCAACACCTCCTTGGAGAACCTCTGTTCTAAAAAAACCTCTTGCATAAAGAGACATGTACAAGGTGTTTATTGCAGCTTTGTTTACAATAGCAAAAGATCAGGGAAAAACAACTAAATGTTCATGAATCAGGAACAGCTGCAATATTATATATTCATGATGAACACAAAATGAATGAAATTAATCTATATGTATTGTTGTGAACGTCTCAAAAACAATGTTGAGTGACAAAAACAAGTTGCAAAATGGAACTCATAGTATACTGTTTATATTTTTAAAATTAAATACGATCTAAACAGTTACATTGTTTCTGATGTACACATATACATCAGAAGTATAAAAACATGGGCATAAATGATGTATGACAATTTTAGGAGACTATTTGCCTCTGGAGAGGGAGGAAGGAAAGGGAATGGGGCTGGGAGTGAAAATAAAAGGGATCTGAACTAAATCTGTGATGTTTTATTCCTTTAAAATAAAAAACTTGAGCTGGTGTGCCAAATGTTAATATTAATCCGATTGGTGGACATAGATATCATACTACCTAATGTACCATTTTCTGTTTTTAAAATTGGGGGGATAGTTTTTAACTTTTAAAAAAAGGCAGGGTGTGGTGGCTCACGCCTGTAATCCCAGCACTTTGGGAGGCCAAGGCAGGTGGATCATGAGGTCAGAAGATCAGCCTAGCCAAGATGGTGAAGCACCGTCTCTACTAAAAATACAAAAATTAGCCAGGCACAGCGGCAGGTGCCTGTCATCCCAGCTACTTGGGAGGCTGAAGCAAGGGAATTGCTTGAAACCAGGTGGCAGAGGTTACAGTGAGCCTTGATCGTGCCACTGCACTCCAGCCTGGGCGATAGAGTGAGACTCTGTCTCAGAAAAAAAACGAAAAAGAAAAAGAAAGATAATGAGTAGCAGAATGCATATGAATGGGTGACCAGTTAGGAAACTATTGCAGTTCTCCAGATAAGAGATGATGAAGGTCTGCATTCTAGACTTAGCTGTGTCAAGGGAGGTATTAGAAATGACTCAAGTTTCTAGCTTAGTTGACTAAGCTGATAGTACTGCCCTTAAGAAAACAATTATTTAAATGTAATTTATGCTAGCCTGGATATTACACAAATAACCTAGAAGACTTGGAGCAACTCTAACAGAATAGAGGGCAAATGGTAGCTGAAGCTGGCTGGAACCACTAGAAATGTAGCCCTTCAATCCCCCATAGTAGCCTAAGAGTTAATAAGACATTGGATTTATATGTGGTATGGCTTTAAAGAAATAAGATAAACATTCCCAAGGTCTTCTAAGAATGGAGTTGATAATTTTATAGACAAACTATATATTTTCTTACTAAGCATAGAAAAGAAGGGCTAGGTATAGTACAGAGGGCTGCTACAGGAAAAGAGAGGACATCTAGTCATTTTTATCTTACTTCAATGTGAGAATAATATCTGATAATTTCCATGTTGGAATAGCTAAATTATTTTTGAGTACAATACAATAAAATATAAAAACAAAAGTGTTTTTATTTACTGTTGATGCCATCTTTAAACGTTCTTTGAGAAGTGACGGTTTAGCAAATGTGATTTCAAGGGTAAGTCCATTTACCTAATATCTGTGGCATTCAAAACCGGTAGACTGGAGTTGGAAAAAATCATTTAAATTTGAGCAGTTCAGCAGCTGACAACAAGAGCAACTACAGGGTCAATTTTTTTCCCTCTGTGCTCAGTGCTGTGAGGTTTTTCTCTGGAAAGAGTCTGTTCAAAACCTTTTTGATGTGTGTGTTCATTTAACGGTTGTTTCTACATACCCTTTCACCCAGCTGTCAGAGAAAATAGGAATAAATTGACTGACCTCTGCACAGGTAACCTAATGGATTAAAAATACACTACTCACCACCAAGCTGATCATCATGAGTGAGAATACTAACGGCCATTATAAGATGACTTATAAGATGACTTACTATCTTAGATAAATGCGGATTCCTCAGAGGGTAATGTGGCCTAAGTGCTGCTGCTGGTGGGAGATAGCTCACCCAGCCCCCGATCTTCAGGCTGACTCAAGCCCTTGAAAGCAACACTAAACAGTGGGTTACAGGAGTGAAGTGCTCTTCTGGAAGAGTCCTTTTCACTTTGCTTTATAGCTGTTCCCAAACCTTCAAAAACAACTTGGAACTTTCACAATTTTGTTTCTACTTTAAACACTTCACTACCTTTTGAATTTTAAAGTATTAGAATAACACCTTTACCTTTGTAATTAGGTAAAATACAAGCCTGGAGAAAAAATAAAAAAATCAGTTGTCAAGCTCCCAAAATGCCACCGATGTAGCATCTGCTCTTAATACGTTGATAGAAAAGGGGGGATCAGCAAACCCAGGTCTCGTCCTTGCATCCCTCTCCTGGACGGTGCTGTGGGTTGGAAGCACTGCAGAGCCTCGGTCTATCCGCTGTCTGCATCTCACAGCACTGCAGGCTGGGAACACCCCACTTGAACTCTAAGCTTCTCCACCACCCTTTTGGTGATCCAAACAGGAGAGAGGAAAACAATGCCCCCCACGTCTCATCTTCAGAATGTTCACCTGGCCACCTCCCAGTAGCTGGAGAGGGATTAAGGTCTCGGTCATAAGAGATCTGAATCAAGCACTGACATATCCTTTTCTTAGGAGCATGAAACATACAACAGTCCTTCTTTTTCTGCCCCCAGTTAAGTATTTATTAGTCGGGTCCTGGGTCCAGATCGGCAGTAAGGGTGGTCTGCGACGGTCCGTGCATCGCCGTCCGCCCACGCCTTCTTCCAATCACCTCAGCCCGACCCTTCACCTTTCTCGCTTCTCCGCAGCCACCCCACTTTCCTCATCTCCGCCCACCCCACGTGGATCCCACTCTCCCCGGCTCTACTCACACCTCAGGTTCCGGCCAGTTCCAGCCCACTGGGCTCTGGTTTACTTAGAGCGAATCACAAGTGGGCTTTCATTCACGTGATTTAAGATTGACTAATCAGCGTCGCTCTTTCAACACACAACTTCTTCCTCATTAGCTTACTCCTAGGGCGGCTCCCGGTAACGCCGAGCGCGGTGGGTTGGCTTGTCACCCTTCGTTACGCCCTCCGATTGGTGCTGCCTGTTGGCCCTTGGACCGGCTTCGGTTCGGTAGACCGTGGCGGTCAGAGCTGCACGCCGCCCCCCCGTCAATCACACCATCCCCTCCTTAACTCACTGGGCCATTGGTCAGTCTAGCCTGAGGGCGGGTTGTTGGGCGGAAGAGAGAAGCTTTTTCCGGTCTCACTCGCTGTTACCATAGAGATTTCGCATCCGGGCAGCGGAGCAGCGGGGTCGGGCAGCCCAGATCTTGAAGTCCGGAGAGCTGTACGATCTCGACATTAATGTCTGTTCCGGGGTCTCAAAAACGCCACAATCCCAAACCCACTGGCTCGAGTGGGGCGCAAGATGTTGGGGACAAGTCAGCTCAGGCCTGGTCATTAAGTGTCCCCAACAACCCTCCTGGAGGGAACTGAGGACAAAGCACCAGTTGTAATAACGGCACGCTTCATTTATCTTTATCTCACCTTATTTTATTTGACATTTAATTCTTCCGTTAACCTTGCGAAGCAAACTGAGGCAAGGATCATTCTACCCATGGGACAGTCTGGGGAAGCGGCCTGGGGTCCATCAAGAAAACTGCCTCCAGGCTACTGAAAGTGGAGCTGGCCCACGCTGTTGGCTGACTGCTGTTACCTAACTGCCTACTAAAGCTTGCCATGACTTTGCTTTGAGGCTATGGCTTGTTAGACCAAAAGATGCATCAATCAGGACAACCAAAGGAAGTAGGACCGGAGGCTGGTGCTCCACCACTAAATCAGGAAGGGAAAACAAACGATAATCAAAACAATACCAAATTGGAGAGCCGCACCATTTGAACCTTTGGCTTTAAACAAAATTCAGAAATATCAGAAGCAATCTATTTACTCCTAGAGCACTGAATCTCTGATTTAAGGAATTCTCCTGAATCACAGCTTTATGAACCAAAAAGAAGATGCTTGAATTTCATCAACTGCCCGTCTCAAATTTATTCTACTTTCAAGGCTTCATTTGCAGTCACATAAACTAACTAGTGATTTCTTAAGTGTTTAGCAACTTAACATTACTTGGCTCAGTGAAGAGCTCTGTGGCTAAGAAATCCTTTATTTTGATGAATTCATTTTATTGGAATTGGGTGTTGACTGCAGCTATGTGCTGTTAGGAACTGTGGGGATATACAAGAAATGAGATGGGACTCCTGTCATAGTAGCCTGTGGTTTTGTAGTGTTAGTCCAACCACACATGAAACAACTAGGAAACACTTTCAAGCAAGATATAGCAATGGTGTAACCCTATTGTACAATTAATTTCTCCAAAACACAATAATACTTCATATTTGCAGAACATTTTGTAGTTTCCAGAGCACTTCTTTCCTTGTATTATTTAGGGGATATTTTGTTTTGGCTAAGTTGATGTGTATGTTTTTATGATTGAGCTAGAACAGATGCTGGGCCCTAGCATATGAGTAGGGACAGGAAAGGTAGAACAGAATCCAGGGAGAGAAAGTAGTTTGAGCAAAGAGGCCGAGGCAAGAATGTGCATTGAATATCTGGAGAATAATGTGGAGACAAATGATGGCAAGTGATGTGTAGACAAACTGGTCAGAACTGGCTCTGAGACATTAATATTTTGGAGGAAAGTGGTCAAAAGTTCAAAGTTGGAGATTGGAAAAGTTAACTTCCTTACATTTCTAATGATCAGATTGGCTACGTTATAAATTAAGAATGGGCGGGGCTTGAGAACCTGAATCCTGTTCTCTCGCTTTTCTCCTTAGGCAGCATGAGCTTCACCATTTGCTCTACCACCTCCACCAGCTACCAGTCCCTGTGCTCCATCCAGTGCCCTGTCCATCAGCAGCGTGGCCAAAGTCTATGGAGGCCTCAGGGGCCTGGGCTCCTGGACCTCAGTGTCCCGTTTCACCAGCTTCTGGGGCGACTGGGGTCTGGAGGCCTGGCTGCAGGGATGGCCTGGGATCTGGCAGGAATGGGGGACATCTACCACGCAAAGCCTGAATGACTGCCTGGCCTTCTTACCTGGACAGGATGGGGACTCTGGTGACTAAGAATCAGAGGCTGGTGAGCAAAATCTGAGAGCACCTGAAGAAGAAGGAACTCCAGGTCAGAGCCTGGGGGCATTACTTCAAGACCATCAAGGACCTGAGGGGCTCATATCTTTGCAAAGTCTATGGACAATGCTTATATCATTCTGCAGATTGACTTTAGAGTCTTGCTGCTGATGACTTTAGAATCAAGTATAAGACAGACCTGGCCATGTGCCAGTCTGTGGAGAGCAACATTCATGGGCTCCACAAGGTCATTGATGACACCAATGTCACTTGGCTACAGCTGGAGATAGAGATGGAGGCTCTCAAGGAGGAGCTGCTCTTCATGAAGAAGAAACACAGGGAAGAAGTAAAAGGCCTATAAGCTCTGATTGCCAACTCTGGGCATTTGCCATGGAGGTAAATGCCCCCAAATCTCAGGACCTCAGAGAGATCATGGAAGACCTCCTGGCCCAGTATGATGAGCTGGCCCAGAAGAACCAAGAGGAGCTGGACAAGTACTGGTCCCAGAAAACTGAGGAGCTCACAAGAGTGGTCACCACGCAGTCCACCAAACTAGGAGCTGCTGAGATGACACTTATGGAGCTGAGTTGTATAGTTCATCTTGGAGATCAACCTAGACTCAGTGAGAAATCTGAAGGCCATCTTGGAGAGCAGCCTGAGAGAGGTGGAGGCCCACTATTCCATGCAGATGGAGCAGCTCAATGGGGTCCTGCTGCACCTGGTTTCGGAGATGGCACAGACCCGGGAAGAAGGGCAGCACCAGGTCCAGGTGTATAAGACCTTGCTGAACAGCAAAGTCAAGCTGGAGGCTGAGATTGCCACCTACCACCGTCTGCTGGAAGATGGGGAGGACTTCAGTTGTGGTGATGTCCTGGATGGCAGCAACTCTATGCAAACCATCCAAAAGACCATCCAGGACAGTGGACGGCAAAGTGGTGTCTGAGACCAACAACACCAAAGTTCTGAGGTGCTGAACCAGCAGAAGCATGGTACCCTTTGGGGAGTTGGAGGCCAGTGAAAACTTCAGAAGTCATTGGATGTCAAAAATAAATAAAAGAATGGACATGAATGAGGAGGTACTCCAAAGTTTTTTACATCTTCTTGAATAGATATAACATTATTAGGTTTTCTCTCTCTTAAGAGGGGACCCACCTCCCAAGTACTCCCCAACTGCACCCCTTAACTAGGAAAGGGGTGTTATTAATAGTTTTCTAATTAAATGATATCATATCCTCTTAATGAGATTGAGAGAAGTGCTGTGATCATAGTGCTTCATCTTTTGCTGTCTCAGAATCAAAACTGTTTTCCTCACTCTAAAAAAGACTGATTATTTGATTATCTAATCTTTCTCTTTTAAAAAATTGTCATCCCCGGCCAGGTGTGGTAGCTAAAGCCTGTAATCCTAGCACTTTGGGAGGCTGAGGCAGGTGGACCACCCGAGGTCAGGAGTTCAATACCAGCATGGCCAATATGGTGAAACCCTGTCTCTACTAAAAGTACAAAAATTAGCCAGGCATGGTGGTATTCCCAGCTACTGGGGAGGCTGAGGCAGGCGAATCAGTTGAATCCAGGAAGCAGAGGCTGCAGTGAGCCAAGATGGAGCCACTGCACTCTAGCCTGGGCAACAGAGTGAGACTCCATCTTAAAAAAAAAAAAAAAAAAAAAAAAAAAAAGTCTTTTCTATGCTGTATTCTACAGCACCTCTACACGTCGCTCCACATCTCTATGGTATATGTATGTATTCCTCATACTTGTAGAATGCACATAGGTGCCCTATATAAATGCATGTCATTTTGTTAACTTATTTTCTCCTCTCTTAAACAAAAAAGTCAAAGCAACAGTAACAAAAACCAGTGTTTCATTTCCTCCTCCTCAAATGCATAAAATCGCTCATAATGCTGCCCAATAGAGGAGAAGAATACAAAGAGGTCACTAGGGTTACCAAGTGTATGGAATGATTTCAAAAGATGTAAAGTTTTTTTGCTTATTTTATGGTTATCAAAACTTTCTGCCAGTAAGCCCTGAATTTTTTGTATACCACTTCTTGTGTGATTATTAGCATTTCTATAGGTGTGAAAATGTAGCAAAAAAATGAAGTAATTGTTGATTATTGGCTGAGGCTCAAAAATGACTAATTTTTCTAATTCTCAATTTTGTTAACTGAAAAACCAAGTAAACAAAAATATCCTCAATGAGTATTGTCAGCAGTTAAAGCCAAATTACTGACCTTCCACAGCCACCCAGAATTACCACCATGACTTTCCAGATCACAATATTCACCTGTTGTTGTAGACCAAGGGTTGGCAAACTATTTGGCCTGTAGGCTTAATCTCAGCTTGTATGACCTGCAAACTAAGAATGATTTTTACATTTAAATGCTTGGGGAAAAAAAAAAAAAAACAAAAGAAAAATGCTCTGTGACATATGAAAATTATATTAAATTTAAAGTTTGGTTTCCATAAGTAAAATTTTACTAGAAGCCAGGAATGCTCATTTGCTTACGTGTTGTTTATGCCTCCTTTTGCTTTATAACAGCAGAATTGAGTACTTACCACGAAGACTATATAGCCCATAGCCTAAAATATTTACTACTGGTCCCTTTAAGAAAAGGTTTTAATTCTTACTACCTTAGAGATTTTTAATGAATCATGTCTGATGAACTGTCGGAATTGAAACAAACTTGGGAAATCATTTAGTGTTATTTAAAAATCTCACAATGATAGAGTTATGTTACCTCTTTCCTAAAATCACATATTCAGTGGACAGAGGTGGTATTAATACTAGCATCCTAGTTCCCCTGGT